TGGAGTGCCCAGCAAATACTGCTAACTAATCCTTTGGCATATAAAACGACAGCTATTCTCTATTCCTTCAAAACAGGAGAAAATTGGCTTAAAGTGAAGCATGAGAGATTTTGCTTGTATCCAAAGGAGATACTTAACCTTGGGTCAACAATAGATGGTGGATGAGGGTTCTAGGACAAACTGTTATCCCTAAAGGAAACCCTTCAAGTGGTTGGATGGCACAGAGCAGTCATTTCTAAACTTGCTACACAATGGCATCACCCAGAAAGCTTCAAAAACCGCTGGTGCATGTGTCCTGCCCTGCCCCCCCCACCCAGGGACTGGTATGGGGTACTGTCTGGGCTTTAAGTTAGTTAAAGGTCCAAAGTGCTTTTAATGGGAAAACACTTTGGGGAACCACTGGCCTGGAAGAAGCCTAAAGACAAATGAAATGGCCTCTTGAGATTCCATTCAGTCCAAGTACAAAAGAATCATCACCATCATCCTAGTTAGCCTCTTCTCAAGTGCTTTCAGGGGGCCATACACTGTGCTCTGTCTCTGCCACGGATAGTCACATAAAATCTAAACACCAACATTGCAAGGAAGGTATTCTTATTATTACCCTCATTTTACCTATGGGGGAAAGGAGACTTAGTGAGGTAAAGTAACTTGGTCAGGAACACACAGATGAGAGTGGCAGATGGAGATTTGAGCTCAGACCCTCCCACTCTGGAACCCACATGTTTTGCAGAGGAGGTGGGTCTCTGGAGAAGAGATGCCCCCTTCCTCCTTTCCACATCACTCCCCACTTGCCATGTACTCTCCTTAAAGGAAAGGGGAAGTCAGTTGAGGGCTCCAGCTTGCCCTGCTTATCTCCCAGGTAGTGGAACCCAGGGCTGCCATGAGGATGAGGCCCAGGGCAGCTACCAGTCCCCCAGGCACACTCTAGGCAGCAGTGAGAAGCAGGCTTCAAGAGGCATTGCTGGTGTGAGGGCAGGGGCAGCCCCTGTGAATCTGCTCCCATCTCACCCTGCATAGCCCAGGTCTGGAAGCAGCTATCACAGAGCAGCACAGAAGCGTGCCAGCGGTGTGGGGACAGAGAAAGGGAACAGTTTTACTCACCAATCCCCATCCAGGAAGAGGGGAGAGCAGGAACCTTGGTGTATGTTTGGGGATCTTTAATATCCTTGAAATGGGAGGCTTGGGACCCCTGGTCCCAAAGGAAGCACGGACAGGTGGCAGGGTGACAGGGACTAGGGAGGGCAGTGTCCTGGGACTGAGTCGCAGCCCCTTGCCTTGGCTTCCCACACCCTCGGCTCAGTCACGTGTCAGACCTGTAGCCCAGCACCCTCATTTTATGAGAAGGAACTAGGTACAAAGAGAGGACAGGACTTGGTCAAAGTTACATGGAGAAGACATCGCTAGTTATCAGAGAAATGCAAATTAAAACCACAATGAGATATCACCTCACACCAGTAAGGATGGCTACCATCCAAAAGACAAACAACAACAAATGTTGGCAAGGTTGTGGAGAAAGGGGAACCCTCCTACACTGCTGGTGGGAATGTAAATTAGTTCAACCATTGTGGAAAGCAGTATGGAGGTTCCTCAAAATGCTCAAAATAGACTTACCATTTGACCCAGGAATTCCACTTCTAGGAATTTACCCTAAGAATGCAGCACTCCAGTTTGAAAAAGACAGATGCACCCCTATGTTTATTGCAGCACTATTTACAATAGCCAAGAAATGGAAGCAACCTAAGTGTCCATCAGTAGATGAATGGATAAAGAAGATGTGGTACATATACACAATGGAATATTATTCAGCCATAAGAAGAAAACAAATCCTACAATTTGCAACAACATGGATGGAGCTAGAGGGTATTATGCTCAGTGAAATAAGCCAAGCAGAGAAAGACAAGTACCAAATGATTTCACTCATCTGTGGAGTATAAGAACAAAGGAAAAACTGAAGGAACAAAACAGCAGCAGAATCACAGAACCCAAGAATGGACTAACAGTTACCAAAGGGAAAGAGACTGGGGAGAATGGGAGGATAGGGGGGGATAAGGGCGGGGAAGAAGAAAGGGGGTATTATGATTAGCATGTATAATGTGGGGGGTGGGGGCATGGGGAGGGCTGTGCAACACAGAGAAGACAAGTAGTGATTCTACAACATCTTACTATGCTGATGGACAGTGACTGTAATGGGGTTTGTAGGGGGGACTTGGGGTAGGGGAGAGCCTAGTAAACATAATGTTCTTCATGTAATTGTAGATTAATGATAAGAAAATTTTTTAAAAAGTTAAAAAAAAAGTTACATGGAGAAGTGGGCAGTACAGCTAGAACCAGAGCTTGGGTATCCTCCCTCCAAGGCAAAATAGAACAGGGAGCCCAGGAGCAATTTCCAGCCACCTTTGGGCTCCCAAAGCCTGGGAGAAGGCTCCATGGGAAGCTCCGCCTCCAATCTCTGCCTGCACAGGAGGGAAGCTGGTATTGGTCACAGAGCAACACTCCTGGTGAACTCTTCCCCCGATTTCTGGGTTAGAGTGGGTGTTTGGGGCAAAACTAAGCCTTCAAGCACCTCCTCAGGCACCAAAACAACTAGGACCCCCACCTCTGATACCCTTTTGACTAGAATCAGAGGGCCCACCTAGAAACTAAAGATCAGGCAGTGTGTCTCTTTCTTATCAAACCTAATAGGTGCTCTTGGGCCAGAAGCCCTTATAAGGTCTCAGAGCAACCCTGCAAATTCTCACTGCCAAGGCCCAGAGGTAGTATTGTTCCGGGCATATGAAGCTCATCTATCCAACATGCTGGAAGTCAGGACTATTATACACTCCTTTATAAAGCTGGCAGCCCTCTCTTGTCTCAGAGGCAAAGAAAGCATCAACAGAGATGTGGGCCCGAGGGAAATAATGCTGTGGCTTAGACTTGATAGAATTCCAGGTGAAGCTGTGAGGCCCCAGAAGGGGACTGGCGTTGTCTGGGCCCAGGATGCTTCCATATCCTGGATCAAAGAGGAAGACAGGAAAGACTCAGTTTAAAGGGCTAGTTAGTGGTGGGTTGGGGACCAGAATTCCAAATCCACGGGGTCAATACGAAACCTGCAGGAAATTCCCAGATCATGTCTCACCTTGCCCATGGTGGGGGGTTTAGAGTGCTATACAAACTTAAGGAATTAATTTATTATTACTGCCTCCTTTAAAAAATATGTGGGTTCCTGAAATATTAGCAATCAGTAGTAATGACCCTTGTTGGGCTCTTGCAATGTGCCAGCAATTAAACAAATGGTATCACTCAACGTGCACAACCCAATTTTACTGATGTGATTTGGGGTGGGGTGGTGAAGGCAGGAGTGGTGGGAAGGCCTCAAGCAGCTTGCCCACAGTTACACAGTTTGTAAGTGGTAAGTCCAGATCACACCCAGTAGCCTGGTTCCAAAGCCTGAGAACTTCCCACTGTACTGTGTAGCTTTCGACTTTATGAGGCGGTTTAGGGAAGCTTTTGGAGTTAGGCTAGTGGAGTTAGAATCCTGGCTCCCTAACTTAACTAGTCGTATGACCCTAGATAAGTTCATTAATCTCACTGTGCCTCAGTTTCCTCACTTGTAAAATGGAGATAATGACACTGCCTACCTCTGTGAAGATTAAAGGAGTTACTTCATAGAAAGCTACTAGCAGAATGCCAGGCAGCTCACAAGGGAGCATCAGTTTTAGCGATTATTGTATTGCTGCACAATATGCACATTTGTTAACCAAACTGGACTTTCCATCCAACTTGCCTTAACAAATCAAAAAGTCATTTTGAGCAAGAAAACAAAACCCTGTGATATATTGTAAATCATACAAAAAATGCAGAAAAGCTTTTCTGTAATCATCTTAAAGGAACTTAAGGAACATGGTAACTGTCTTAAAGGAATTTAAAGGAACATGGCAAGTTCTTGATAAATTTGAAACAAGTCTAAAGCATCTCTTCTGACGTTAAGCTAAAGGAGCTTCTCTCCATGCTGCATTCATTACCTGCAGGGATGTATGGCCACAAGTAGGTTTGCTTTTGAGGTGAAGCTACAGCCCCTCTGAGTGCAAGCTGCAGTGGAACAGTCCCCAGGCTCCCCTCTTGCAGCATTAGACTACTCCAGGTAAGTTTTTCACTCTAGAACTAGAGCATTCTCTTTTGAAGCTGCAGTTGTATGTTGTGTTTTTCTAGGAGGTAAGCATTTGCCTCTCTTGCAGCTGTGTTTTTACTTAGCTAAGAGTTTCTGTGATCACCATGAGGTATGCCCTCTCTTTCTGTTTATCTGACATCCTTTAAGTTAATGAGGACCATGATTTATAAAGCAGGTACTCCCTCATGCACATACTCATATGTTCATCCACCTCTCACTTTGCATCTCTAGCCTGTATGTTCCTGCTCTAAGAGGCACCTCCCTGGCCCTGCACTGGAAGTACTGTCCAAGGAGTCTTGGATCTGCCTTGATTCTGTGCTGTGTCTGGGTTGGGGTGCGGGATGGTGGGCTGGGAGGATGACCCAGCATGGGGCCCTAGAAAGTTCTTGTCAGCTCTCGTAAGTCTTCATATTTGAAGGCTCCAGCCCCATATCATATCAAACATGTTAAAATACAGCCTTGGCAAACATAATTTTTTGCTACAAAACATTTTGAATTTTTGTAATTCCTTTTGAAAATATTTGTCTACCAGCAACTCATTTGATTGTGATAAGCTATAATTAATGTACAATTCCAGATATATTTGGAATTACTGAAAAACAAGGAAATCTATCCTACAAATTTTTTCAAATGTAATGAAATTTTTATAAATTCGAAATCTCATCCATTAAGGGAGTTTATCTATGTAATCCATAGTGTTTGATGGATGAAAAGGCCCTATGCCTGGGCCTGGAGACTCTCAGAACTTGCACCTGAGATGTCCCTCCAGAACTCTGTGTGAAAGGGGCTCTAGGGGATCTGTCATGGATTAGACCCAATGACCTTGGAATTCAGAATGAAAATTCTACCACTATGTCTGAAACAAAGCAGTTTATTGAAGATACAGAAGAGAATTATTTTCTTGGAGCTAAGAAGGGACAAGTACCGCTCATAGGAAATCAAAGCACCAGTAGGAGGTGGGGACCGAGGGCACCCTTGTCTACAAGGGTGGGGGAAGGGATGTGCTCCGGGCTGGCTGGTGCTTTCCCATAAGGCAGAGGGACATGTGGCTGGGGTGGGACACCTGTGGGGCAGGGGCCCTGACACAGCCCAGCTCCTCGACACTGCTCCTCCACCTGGTTTTGTGGGGATAGATGGTTTTTCAGCCCAGTCATCCTTCCCTGCAAATTTTGGGCTGCAGCGCCAGTCGTGTGTGAAGGGGGTGCTCGGGGGTGCTGCTCAGAAGATGCTTTGGGAAAGGCCTGGGGCGGGAGGATCGGGAAAGAGGACGGGTGTGCCGGCCAGTGAAAGAGCTGGGAGAGCTGGGGACACCTCCCGCGCCGCCTTCAGAATTTGTGGTGGGTCCGCTGGCTCTGGGAGGAGCTTTGTGAGCCCCGGACAGAGCTGCTGCCGACCCCGCTGACTGCGCCCGAGCCCCCGGAACCGGAGAAGCTCCCGCGCACCGCGGAGCTCCCGCAGGAGCCGGTGCCCGAGCCCAGACCCCCGCGGTCTGCCGCGCCGCTGCGACCCCCGCTGCCCAGGCCCCCGCGACCCCCAGCTCCTTCTCCGTGGACGCCTCCTCCGTGGGAGCCTCCTCCCAGGGCGCCTCCTCCCAGGGCGCCTCCTCCCAGGGCTCCTCTCCCCGGGGCTCCTCCTCCTGGGGCTCCTCCTCCGGAGGCGCGCCCTCCGTGGGCCCCGCTGCTGCCGCCACCGCCGCTGCTGCTGCTGGTGTGCACCATCTCTGCAAAGAGTGTCTCAGGTCAGGGAGCCCGTGGAGGTCCGCCGGCACACCCGCCTCCCGCCTGCCTTCCCAGCACCGCCCCCGGGACTCCGCAGAGCGCAGGGAGGGCCGGCCTCCACAGCTGAGGGAGGCTGGCTGCGTGGGCCCCTGAGCCACTGGGTCCCTCCCGCCTGGACCCAGCAGCTTATGACAGCGTGCAGAGAGGATGATGCATACCAGCACTGGCCCTTGGGCTGACAAGCATGGTCCCAGAAGAAGAACCCTGCACTTACCGACGCACACGGAACTCTGGCACTCTCCTGACATCCTGTGGGAAGACCAGGCCCCAGTGTCAGCCATCTTCTGCAGATCCTCCCTTCCCTAAATGCACCTTGCTGAGCTAACACCCATGAAGCCCTAATCTCCCACCTTCTTCCTAACCGGTGCTGACAATACGGCATAGAATGGGTCGGTGCTCAAGAAATCTTGACACACATCCCCCTTCCCATTGGGTGAGATTAGACTCAGGTGTTACCCTTTCCACCAACATTCTCCCAGAGAGTAACAGACAAGGCTTATTTCTGGGTCTCCTCCTCCTCTCCCCACTCCTCATGATCCTCTTTATTGAATAAACACTATTCGAACCCACATAGGCGAGAGCCCTGGACCCAAGTGCCAGGCTGCAGGAGCCCACTCTTCAGAAACCTCCAATTAAGGCAGTAATACAGAAATGGCCTAGAAATAGTACAGCTATGCCTATAACTCCTTCTCTTTGCTGACATGTGTTTTAGAGCTAAAACATGAGACATGAAGGGTGGGGAAATCTGTCCAAGATACGGTTCTGGTGGTGTCACTATTGCACAGAAAACAAAGCCCTCCTGGAGGTCTGGCAACATCTTGCAGCCCTTTAAAGGAAGAAGCTGGGGCTACCGAGGGCCACCACCACTTGCAGCAGCGTGCACATGCACGCACACGCACACGGTCCCTGGTAGTGGCTCCGGCAGGAAAGTCACCAGGCCTCTGGACCTCCTGGGAACCAGAGGGACTCCTGCTAACCTGCACTCCTCGCCCTCCAGGAGGGTCCGGTAGGTGGCGATCTCAATGTCCAGGGCCAGCTTGACATTCATCAGCTCCTGGTACTCCTTCAGCAGGCGGGCCAGGTCCTCCTTTGCCTGCTGCAGGGCGGCCTTGAGTTCCTGGAGCTTGGTATTGGCATCCTTGAGGGCCACCTCCCCACGCTGCTCTGCATCAGCAATGGCCGTCTGCAGATTGGCATTCTGAGGGCAGAGGGCCAGGAGTCCACTTTAGATTCAAGCAGCATTCGCAGCTGGCCTGCCTGTGTGCTTGGTGCTTGCACATGAGTCACCTCACGTAGGGCAGATAAAGAAACTACAGCCCACCAAGGTTCAAGCATGGGCCTTCATCTAGGTCCTTGATCATCAAGGAGTGGGACCTAGCCCAGCTCAGGAGGAGTCAGCCTCTTCCTTCTCTCTCCTCTTTCAAGGTAAGAGACTGAGCATCTTTGGAAACATCCCCCTCCAGGAAGCCTTCCTGAATTACCAGAGAGACTTTCTGTCTGTCCTCGCCTATCTAGATGTGGGTTTCCTTGGCTACTCTCCCAATCTGACAATCAGCTTCTTTCCCTGACCTCCCTAATTATGTCTGTACTCAATATTTCTGGCCTATATCAGCTTTCAAATCCAGGGATGCAGGACCTGGAGACAATGACAACCTTTGTTCAGCACCTAAGCCCAGAACTGCACCTGGTGAATCTGAGAATACATGAGTCTGGACCATGATTTCACTTAGGCCTGAGTTTTATAGTGCAAGCATAAGCCTGCAGTCTCAGACACGTGTTCCCTCCTTCCCAACCTGCTTCTTGACATTCTCGATCTCAGCCCGCAGCCTCTGGATCATCCTGTTGAGCTCCATGATCTCACTCTTGGTGCTCTTTAGGTCATCCCCGTGCTTGCCAGCCGTGGTCTGCAGCTCTCCCAACTGTGTCCAAGAAAGAGTCATACTTTCAGAAAACCAGCAGGGGCCTTTCAGTTCCCCTAATCCACCCCCTTCATGTCACAAATGGGAAAAACCAAAACACAGACACACAGCTCATGCAAGGTCACCCAGTTGAAGGAACCAGGTGCTTCCTCTCCTGCGTCAGGGTACCGGCTTACCGGCTTCTTGCACAGTAGCTGCTGTTGACTGAGCAGATACTTTGTACCAGGCCTTATGCTTTATCTGATAAAACTTCACAATGACCTCATGGGGAAGGCATTATCACCCACATTCTCTGAATGGGAAAACAGACCCAGATTGAGGCTTGAGTACATGACTAAATTCATCCAGCTGTTGAGTGACAATGCTGGAACCTGAATGCAGACATTTCAGGTGCTGGGCCATCTTCTTAACCAGCAGGCTGTACTTTCCTGGACAGAAAAGCCAGACGAGTCAGAGGTATAAGGGCCAGCTTATGCCTCATCCAGGTTTTAGGAAGGGGAAGCACACAACAACAAGGTCCAGATTGGCTGGGGAGAAATGGAAGCCATCTCCAACAATAAAGGGAAGGCAGCTAGAGAGATTTAGGTTAAGATTTTCTCAACCCTGACCCTATTGACATTTTGAGAAGGATAATTTTTTGGTTTGTTTGGAGGAGGAGGGCTTTCACACATATATGTTGTGCAGCAGTATCCCTGGCCTCTACACACAAGACTCTAGTAGCACTCCCAACCCTACCCCTAGGTATGATAGACAAAAATGTCTGCAGACATTGCCAAATGTCCCCTGCAGTAAATCATGTCCTAGGAAGAAACGCCTGGTTAGAGCAAAGTCAGAACTGTCTGATTAGCAAGGGAGATGTCTATTAAGGAGACCAGCCCAGGGGGAAGGTGTGGAATTGCCACACTGGAGATGCAGAGAAGAATGACTCAGAGGTAGGGTCTGCCCTCTTAGATGGTCTGCCTGGGTGAGTCCATGAGGGAGACAAGATTCTGCAAAGTTACCTGATGGCGCCACCCACCTTGGTTTGGTACAGGGCCTCGGCCTCGGCCTTGCTCCTCTGGGCAATCGCCTCGTACTGGGCACGGACCTCGGTGATGATGCTGTCCAGGTCCAGGCAGCGGTTGTTGTCCATGGACAGCACCACAGAGGTGTCGCTGGTGTCTGATTGCATCTGGGACAGCTCCTGCAGAGCCAGGATGTGCCCACTCCTGAGCAGACCCACACTGGGGCTCCCCAGAAGACAGGAGCCACCAGCTCAAGAAAGCTCAGGACTGATTAAGGAACAGGTGGGAAAGTGTCCATTTTGTCAGAAGGACAAAACGCAACCGGACTCCTACTGGGGAACCTGAATGCCTTCTTCCCCAGGGCATGGACGGCAATGGATCATGAAGCTTGGAGATGAGGAGCAGACTTACGGCATCATAAAGGGCCTTCAGGAAGTTGATTTCATCTGTCACACTGTCCACCTTAACCTCCAGCTCCACTTTGTTCATGTAGGCAGCATCGACATCCTGGGAGAGAATTCAGCACAGTCCCTCTAACCTGTGGGCTCAGCCCACCCCTGGGCACTGAGGAGGGAGCAGAGGAAGGGGCCACAGGGGCCTGCCACCAGGAGCTTCCCCTAGGGGAAATGAGACACCCATCCAGGCACAGGCAGACATGACCTAATGTTACTAAACTGGCTATTTTGCAGGCTGGGCTGGAGAAATCCTATCGGAGAAGAGCAAAGAGGCTATGCAGATGGAAGGGCGACGTGGGCTGAGACTGGGGCCGTTACCCTGGGCCTGGATGAGGAGAATTAGCAAGGAAAGTCTGAAGGAAAAATCTAAATTTTGGACACTCAGGGGCTCTCTTTAAACTACTCCTGGGAAGGCAATCCTGAAAAATACCATGTTACTTCTCTTTGTCCACTTTCTAATCACAACTCAAGGCCCAATCAGGTTCACAGACCCTACATGCCTATCAGGAAGAGACATGGCAAGTGTCTGGTGGGCCCTTTATGCCCTGCTCTGAAGATTCTCCAGGCCCTGCCTCTGACCAGCCTGCTCAGGGGGCTCCATTCTCTGAGGAGACCCTCAACTTAGCAGGATCAAACTTCTGTCTCCCCTCAACCTTCAAACCACTCTGTCTGGCAGGGCTCTGGGGTAGGAGGTGGGGGAAAGGGTCCTTCACCTTCTTCAAGACCACAAAGTCGTTCTCTGCAGCTGTGCGTTTGTTGATCTCCTCTTCATACCTGTGAGAAGAGTCACTTTCTGGTCCGCCTCTTCTGGGATGTCCCCATGGCCCCAGAGCACTTCCCATGAATAACATGGACTCAAGGACTCTTGTGCTACCAGTTTCACTCAAGACCTGTGTCACTGCAATGAACAGCCTTCTGAGTTCAGGAGAGACCCAGTTCATTCAACAGGCTCTACTGAGCATCACTATGTGCCAGGCACCAATTAACAATGGTGATGGTAATTACTGGACACTAGAACAGAAGCCCCTTCCTAGTGGGGTCCTATTCTGATTAATCCTAGAGGGCTTCCTGAAGAATTTTGGATTTTTTTAAAACTATTTATGTGACCAAAGGGAGGTGACTTAGCTGCCAGGAGCTTTCAGTGGGAAGTGTGTGGTGCCACCTCTGTGCTCGACAAGTGAAAATGAGGAGACTGAGGCAGAGAACCTAAGGCACTTGCCCAAGATCACAGAGTTAATAAATTGCAAAATAGGGCTGGACCAAGGCACCTGGACTCCAAACTCCAAAGCCTGTATGTACTCTTAACTTTAAAGCAAGGTGCTTCTCATTAGAAACCTATTGACAGAGAAAATAAAACTCATAGCTGGAGGGGAACTTGGATATTGATCCAGTCCACAGAGGACAGACAATGTTATCTGAGTCTAGAAGGCTCATGAATGGGCTTAGGGGTCTTGGAACACCTCGCTCCCTGCAAAATTGTATGTGTACACAATTTCATTAAATTGCCAAAATGGCTTCTGCCCCAACCAAGTCATGAGGCACTGTTCCAAAGATCAGGATATTGAAAGTCAGAGATGGTAGGGGCAAATTCCTAGTTTGCAGCCAGCTGGAACAGAGCCCAGGCCTCTTGACATCTGTGTCCTCCTACCCTCCAGCTCTCCCTGCCCAATCCCAGGGACAAGGCAACACGCACTTCTTCTTGAAATCCTCCACCATCTCCTCCATGCTCTTCAGCTCATCCTGCAATTTGTCCTTCTCATTGTGTAGCCCATCCAGGAAGGCCTGGAGGCTACTGATGTAATTCTCAAAAAAAGGCTCAAGATTGTTGTTGGTGGTGTGAGAACTCGAGCCCTGCTCCTGCAGGAGGCTCCACTTGGTCTCCAGGACCTTGTTCTGCTGCTCCAGGAACCGCACCTGCCGCCCAATGAGAAAACAGAGTCAAGGAGCTGTCTGGCCAGCTCCAGTCATGGTGGTTCATGGCTTCCCCAGAAACAAAGGCCTAGGGGTCTCCCTGTCTCTCCTGCAGGGGTGCATTTTGAATGCTGCAATAGTCTAGTGCTAACCCTGCATGGGCAGCAGCATTGGTGCAATGCAGGGGAAGGAGAACCCTATTGCACGGATAAGGAAACTGAAGCCCAGAGAGGACCATCATCACAGAACAAGTTAGTACCAAACAGAACCAAGGTTTCCTAACACTTAGGCTTGATGATCTTCCCACTACATCATTCATTCATTCAATTCCTCTATCAATGGTACTCAACAAATAGCAGGACATTCTGACATCCTGCAGGAGATTCTAATATCCTACAGGAGATACAGTTTCCAGGAAGAGGCTCACAGTACATCTGGGTACACTGCACTTAGATGAGAAATAGAGAAATGGCTTTCAGACAGCCCTTGTCGCAGAAGGAAGGATCCAGAAGCACCTAGGATTAGCCCGCTCTGCCAAGCCAGTGCTCAGCTGCATTTAAACTGATCCATTGGCTAAAGATGTCTCAAATTTCCATTTGTCACAAAACATTTTTGTACACAAGTTCAAGGACAATTCTATCAACAGTTGGAGTAAATATCAATCAACTGTCCTTTTAACAAACATTTGCAGAGCACCAAGCTTGTGCCAGACCTTATGCTGGACACTCAGGTCCCCAAGACCTGGGAATCCCCCTAGACAGATGGTGAGAGCTGTTGCTGAGAAATCCTCCTTCTGCGGAGGTGCAGTCTTTTCATGTCACTCTCTGCCTTTCTGCAACTACTTGGCCTAGACACCCAGGTGTCTGCTGGGAACTAGCTGGTCACCTGACTTTTAAGAGTTTCACCTCTACAAAGGTCTGATATTCTGATGCTAAGACCAAGTTTTCCTTCAGCTTTGCCCAAGATACTTAGGTACGTCGTCAGCACCCTCAAAGAGTCCCTACAAAACCTTTCTTTAAAGCCTAATATTATCCCAGGATCACAAAGAAATCTCCACACATCACACTCAAGAGTACCTCTGAAACCCTCAGTTAGCAGCCACCCAAACCTAAATACCCCTGGCCACCACAACAATTGTCATAACGTCACTTACATGGAATATTCAAAGCACAGGAATCCTTACAAAACATCTCTTCAGCCTAGCACACATATGTGTGTGTACAAATGTCTGACTGACAGCTCCTCACACTGAAGTCTTCCTGTGAGACCCACCTAGGAGGAGGTACCCCTCATCCCTACCCCATCCCACTTCCCAAAAACTATCTGCATCCCTCTCCATAGGCTGATGGCAGATTGACTCATCTCTCAAATACAATCCCAGCCTCTTCTCTAACTTCTTCATTCCATGGCAGAGGAGCAGTTCCCAACTCCCCTGGGACAGAGAAGAATTCTGTATTTGAGCCTCAGAGGGACATCCATGATGGCAACAAATGATGCCAGCAGTGCCCAAGACAAACTGCAGTGATGGAGCATCTAAAGGAGGCAGTAACTCCAAACAATAAGGGACTGACATATTTTCATCATCTGCTGCTACATTAGTAGGTCCACCACCTGCTGATATGCCAGAGGGCTTGAGGTATGGGATGAACCCACGAGTCCTTCCTCAGATTCATAAGGAGAAGAGGAAAAAGAAACCATTGCAGTTAAGCCAGATTTCCTCACTGTCCAGCTGTCCTGTGATGGTCTCACCTTGTCAATGAAGGAGGCGAACTTGTTGTTGAGGGTCTTGATCTGTTCCCACTCCTGGGCCTTTACTTGCCCAATCTGGGGGTCGATCTCCACATTGAGGGGCTGCAGGAGGCTCTGGTTAACAGTCACTTCCTGGATTCCCCCAGGGAAGCCACCTGGACCACCAGGGCCACCAAAGCCACCAGGGCCACCAAAGCCACCAGGGCCACCAAAACCACTGGGACCTCCAAAGCCACCAGGGCCACGAAAGCCACCAGCCCCACCAAAGCCACCGGGGCCACCAAAGCCACCAGCACTACCAAAGCCACCAGCTCCTCCGCCAAAGCCACCAGCTCTTCCACAGAAGCCCCCCATCCCTCTTCCACCACCTCCAAAGCCACTACCACCTAAGCCTCCTGCACTGGCCCCCCCAAACCCTCCAGCCCGGATGCTGCCTCCAGCCACGCTGATGGAGATCTTCTTGTTGCCCCCAAGGTTGTAGAGACTCCTACTGCCAAAACCTCCTCCCATCATGGCACAGGCAGCTGCTGCACCAGTGCCCCCCGCTGAGCGGGAGGTCGAGGAGGATGCTGTGGAGCTGACCCGACTCTGGCCTGACACCACAGCTGAGTGTCCACTGAAGCCCTGTTGGCGGCCGCCGTTGGAAGACCTGCAGGACTGTTGGCTGGAGCTGGCCTGGCGACTCATGGTGAACAGCAAAGTATTCCAAAGGAAGGGTGAGCTCAGAAGGCTGGAGGAGACTCAGAGACCTTCTGAAGTTCTGGCCCAGGGCTGGCCCTTATATAGGGCTGGGGAGCTTGGCTGGCTGATGGTGCCAGCCAAATAATTGAGGTATTATCAGCTTTGCTTTGCCTGGCAGCAAGAGGTTAAGTCCAAAACTTGAAACACGCCTTGGTAATCACCCCAAATTCCCAAATTGCTTTATCTTCCCAGGGTTACTCACCTGAAATAAGCTTAGTTGGGAGAGGGACCATTCTGCAGGGCTGGACAGAGCCCCTAATCCCCAAAACACTTATGCTCCCATCCTAAGAGTGACAGGTCAGCGTTTCTCTATTTGTCCTGCGTCCCCACAGCCATTCTGCGAGCCCGTCCAGCCTCAGGAGTTTCCAGGATGAGTGCGGAGCCCCAGCGAGGACCTTGAGCAAGAACAGAGAAGTAGGCAAAGGGCTGGGAAGGAGACAGACTAAGGAGGAGGAGAGAAATGCACCACCTGGAGGCAGCAGGTGCCTCTGGGGCTCTTGCCATCCAGGAAGGAGACAGCATCCCTGCGAAACACACAATGGATGAGTTCTCAGCCTCAAGGGCCTTGGAGGGAGAATTGGAGTCAAAGAGGAGAAAAGGATGGGATGCGCAGTAGACTGAAACAAGTACAGACCATGGCCAAGGTCAGTGAGAGGGAGGGAGCAGACAGGGAGAGGTGCCTCTGGAGAAACGGAAGCTGAAGGAAGGCCAGTTCGGGTGAGAAGAGGATGGTGACCTCCAAAATGGTGGTTCAGGCCACAGAAACCACTACTGGCCTTTCCTCTTCCAAGAAAATGAATGCAGGGTTTCCAAGACCTGCTTCCCTCAGCTCACCTGAGAGACGCCACCTATACCATCTAGGAAGCTTGAGTTCCTCTCCAGGAAATTTAAGAAGAATCAAGGCTATAAACAATCTCCATTCTGTAGCTGGGCAGTGGTCATTGACCTTTACTCTAACCATATGCAAGTGAAATATCTTTTTATTTATCATAATGATGTATATACTATAGAGCTAATTGCTTCCAAACACATCATGATCTAGAAGTAGGTTTTTGTCTCTACATTGCTTTTTATTCCATATCAGAAACAAAAGTCTCAGATTTCTTTTGACTCAGCATTCCAAATGCCTGGAACAATAGCATCATTATTTCCCACTATCTTGTTATATACTTGCCTCTTATCTCTAATTACTTTTCTAAGACACCTTGTTGACTAAAATCCATAAATTTTTCAGAAGCCCACTTAATCTGCTTAGTTCTCTCATCACCTAAGAAGTTTTTTTAATGATGGTTTTCCAAAAGTTGTTGAAAAGATAACGTATGAGAAGAGTCCTCTATAAATCGACACGTGTGGTGTGAATGTTAGTCGCTTTTATAACACTTGCCTACTTCCCTTCAGCAGCAAAAACCAGCCTTGATAGCTCTGTGAGACTCAAGGCGTGCTCTGGAAAATGAGTCTCCACCGAGGCCGTCTCCTCTGTAAATAAGCCTTTCGTTCCCTCTTCCAGTGTGACCACCAAGTCCTCAGATGCATGATCCTCCACCCGCTCCCCTTGCTCACCCCCTTTACCTTCTGGCTGCTCAGCACCTCACTTTAAACCAGGCGTGCAGGGAAACTGCTCCCTTACAAGCTAACTGGGGGGAAGGCCAGTTTAAACCAGTGACCAGCAAGCCTGAGAGCAGTTCCCAAATCGGTGCTCCTGTTCCCATCGAGCACACAAAGTCACAAAAACCCTCAAGTAACTCGGGCTAAGAAAGTGTGCCCAACTAGAGGTTCTGCCATTCCATCTCTCCCACCCCCAGAATTCAGTGTCCTCAGGCTACCAGACTTTCTACAGAAAGAGAGAGAAGAAAAACACAGCACACATACTGTGCATTTACGGGAGCACACACATGCAGATATGCATGCTTACGAAACCACACACAAGCACGCACATACTTTCATCACAGCTCCCCACCTAGCATGCTCTTCCCCCAGAAGCCATTTATGTCACAAATGGACACTACTGTCCTTGCCCCCTTCAAAACCTAGGTGCCTGCCCATTTCCCCTTGGCGCTGAATCTGAGAAACCAAGATACAGCAACTGGGTCCAAATCAGGGCACAGACTGAGAGGCAGGCAGCCCAGGTCCTGACTCAGCCACCACCTGAGTCTTCCCCTTGCTGCTCAGTTCCTTCCTCTGCACATTGAAGGCTTCAGACTTAATCAGGAGGTTCCTGTTGGACCTACTGAAGCTTGGGGTTCAAAAGAGGCATGGGGTGGGAGAAAGGGGCAGCAGTGGGCAGTGTCCTAGTCTCGTTGCTGCCACCATCCCAGCCCCCTGCCATCCTAATGTGAGGATAGACTCAGCCTGGGGAAAGTGGATGGAGGGTGGTTTAATTCTAGGGGCAGGGGGAGGGCAACTTTCACGACACAATGCATTAAGGTGCACCCTTTGCCAATATGTGAGGCTGATCCTGACTCCAAAATAGTGCTTTGGGTTCCAGTGTAGCTGAGGCTTTCGTTTAAAGAGACCCTGGGAGCAGATGGGGCAATGTCCCGCACTGTCTCCCTGCCCCGACTTACCATTTTTTACAGTCTTTGCCATTGAAGGGAAACACTTCAGAACAATTAGCTGGTTTCCACCCTTTGACAGTTGCCAATGACCTGGCCCAGTTTGAATATGCTGAGAAGTCAGTTTGCATTTTAAACATCAAGAACAAACTCCAAAGAGTTTGAAGTGGAAGTTTGGGACTCTAATGAGGGCCCATCCCAAATCCCTTTTCTCTGGCAAACCCCACGGTTAATCCCCCACACCCACAGACTATAAAAGCCCAGCTGCTCCCTTCGGTTGCCTCTTCGGGAGAGAAGCAGAGCACTGCTGATGGGAAGTCGCCACTCCTGGAATTAGCCCTGATGGGCCTTCCCAGGGACTGAAGGCACAGGCGTCCCAGCAAAGACTCGGGGCCCTGCCCCCCTCCTTGCCATGCCTATGGCTATGCCTCACAGGCTGGCACTATGATCACAGCCCCTGGGGAATCTGGGTCCCCCTGGAGGAATTAGGGAGGCAAAGAGGCAACTGTTCTGCCCACAGGCATCCCCAGCTTCTCTGGAAACAGGGCACTCAGGTGTAGGTGCTCAGGGCTAAGGACAGGCTTGGCAGCACATGGCATGGCAGCTGGCATGATGCTGGGCCGGGGACAGCAAGTGGGGTGCATGGAGCTGGGAAGGAGCTGCGAGGGAGAAGCATGTGGAACTGCATAGGGATGGGAGACCTTGGCCAGGGGTGTGGGGCTGTGAAGGACCCAGCTTGTGTCCTGAGCTGGCTGCTGCCCTGTGGCCTGTAGTCAGAGAGAACGCTGCCCCGTAAGGAACTGCTCTTCCACACCAGGTGAGCTCTGAGCCCAGTCTCACTGAGGGGCCAGCCTTGTGGCATCTTGGAACTCAGGAAAGGTCTTGGGCCAGGTAGCTGCAGCCATGAACTTGGCTCATCCCTGAAGGAGAGGTCCTCTAAGGAGGGAGGCGACCTCCAAGTGCCAGGAACTTCCCACGCCAGGAGGCCACCAGAGCAGTGGCATGGGCAGCACCCTGAAGAGGGCAGGAAGCCCTGGTCCTAGGCTTCAGATCCCTCTGGGTCTCCATGTAATTAATGGTGAAACAGGGCTGATAACTTCTGTACTCCTATTGAGCCGAGTGACTGAGAGGTGAGTTAAGTACAATGAAGGGCTTTATAAACTGAAGACCAGAGGCAAGGATTGTAAAAGCAGCCAAAGAGGACACCATGCGGTTGCTGCCAGGTGGTGGGCTCTTGTTATTAACATTTTACTGACCTCTTCCCATAGACCCTCACAGCAACCCTATATTGCAGGGCTCATTGCTCCATTTACAGATGAGGAAAACTGGGACTCAGAAGTTAAATAACTTGTCTAAGGGCTCACAGACAGTAAGTGGCAGAGCCAGGCCTCCAGTTCAGTTCTGTCCCAGTCTGGAGCCCACACTTGTGGGATAGACAAGCAAGAAACAGCCTCTGGAAAAGCTCCCTGTATGGCCCCATGGGGTGTTCTGTGTCTGCTCCTGCCCAGAGCCCAGCTCACAGAACCAGCCCTGATGCTGAACAGTTGCCTCAGATGTGATCATGTTGGAGAAATGGCAGATGAAAACAAAATGTGGAGTAGGGAGAAGAGACACAAACAGGACCCCATATTTGCCTAAGCATGGCCCCCAGGAGGGCACACTGCACTATTTCCCCAGCAAAGGGGACAGTTCATGCCGCACCTTCTCATTCCTTCCTGGTCAGGATCACAGGCCTGATGTTTCAAGCTGATAGGCCATGGTCTGGGACCATGGACCACCACAACGCTAAGCAGTTCACAGCTAGTGACCTTGGCTTCTCTGCACCCTCTAAATGAGGCCCTAGTGTGATGTTCCTCAGCCCTTCCCCTTATTCCTTCCCCAGCCACCACTTCCTGAGTACCTCTCTGCTGGACACTGTGCTGGCCTCTTCTGGGTAGCTCCCACTCTGTTCTAGGGATCCTGAAGAGTCCTCTGACTGAAAACCCTCTCCCTCTTTCCCTTACACCCAAACTGACCCTTCCACCATGACGCTTTGTATGACCAACCTGGCCCCCAGAGCTCTCCTGTCTTAACAGCTCCTGGCACTCCCATTGCCCCCCCGCCACCCCCGCTCATGAGTCAAATGAGAGTGTGGAAGCCTGGGATGGCAGACCTGGGACAGCCCCAGCCTCCCAGCACCCAGCCAGCCTTGTGCAATGCAGGAAGTTCTTGGTTCCCTAGAAAAGCCAGGCCCCAGCACCACAAGCATACATGCCAACACTTTAATGTTTTCTGATATTTGTGGATGCCTTCAACTTTTTACAACCCTTTAACTTACCTGACCTGACAGAAATGGGCAAACACACCACACACAGACACACACCCTCCTGTGACTCATAGACAAAGTACTTTCATGCAACCTGTGACCCCAGATGAAAAGGACAAAAACATTAAGCATAAAATAGGTTTAAAGACTGA